TTGTTTTTATGAGTAGCATAAAGGGAGGTACAACCTAAATTTCATTATACAATCCTGCGTTGTAAATTGGCAATTAAATAACCTTGTATCCTTGTCTAAGTAATGTTGTTACTTAAATCAAAAGGGTTTATCCTCTGTACAGTAGAAGCTTTGGTACAGATTCAGGTCATCAGTCTCATCTCTGCTTTGCCAGACTTAATTCAGCTTTCACCTGTCTCAAAGCTGAACCCAGGGTCAGTTGAGTGACATGCGTACAGTAGCATGTTAACACACATAACATAATTCTGATGTTAACTTGCTCTGGTATTAGGTCTATTGAGGTGGTCTGGATGTTGATGAAGTAGACTGAACTGATGTAGATTTCTTCTGTGTCTGATAACGAGTATAGGATTCACAGTATACCTAGTTCCATTCATTGAAAAGAAATAAACATGGCTGCCTCAAAACTACAGTGGCAGAAATATATAAACGCAAACAAGCACATATAGCGTTATTTTCTTGAAAAAGTCCCTAAATTAAAATATTTAGTAAACCATTAAATAGAAATATTTAACAGTGGCATTAGAAATCAATACCTTTTTTAATTATGAATCTTCTACATACTTGCCTTTTTTCAATAAACTTAAGCTTAGTCTAAAATATGGCTTTAATAGATCATTAAATTATATTTAATTGAATTATAAATTAAAATTTCAGTTCTTTATTAATTAATTAATGTGTTAAATTTGACAGTATTTGGATGGACAGGAGGAGCTGGGAATTGAACCACCAACCCCGCCATTAGGGGTCAACCTGCCATACTTCCTGAGCCATAGCCACCCTGTGCAGCATATATTTTATATTTACATATTGTAAAATGCAAACAAACAAACAAAAAAGACCCTGCACAACTAGTAATGTGTTTCTCTTTCATTCTTGGCTATTTTGTCTTGCACAGGTGATGACCCAGCGCATCATTGGCAGTCCCAGGAAGCGTGGCCATGAGGATCTCCACCTTCAGAGCTGCGGTGCTTTGAGTTCGTCCCCTTCCATGCGCCGTCCAAAGGACCTCTTACAAACAACCAGCGCCTCCACCAACCCACTGGACTCCCCCTCCTCTGAACAAAGCCTTGAGTGCAAAGAAACTATTCTCTGACCACTCTCCCAACAAAGACTTGGATCAAAACTCTGAGGGCATTTCAGGCTGCTGGTGTTGCAGCCACGCTGTGCTGTGCAGCAGATGTCTGTAGAGTCATTAATAACTCCTCCAACATTGAAAGATGATTTATTTTCACAGTGTGACTGCAGCACAGGCAAACTCAAATGGTCTGTATCTCCTAGTGCCCTGTGAGACCGTGCCAAGTCATCAGCAGAAATGGTAGCAAACTCAGACTGAGCCTGCCAGTGTCTGTAGTGGCTTCTTTCTCATCCGAAAAACAAAAGAATGTCTCTCCCTCAGGGGATCTTTTCTACTGAGTTTCATCTCTTAAAAAAGAAACAAATACTCAGCTGGTTAGTTTGGATCTGGGACTGAAAGACAAAGGAGATTGTGTTCACATCAGTATTCCTCTTGTCCTCATAAGAAACAGGAAGAAATATGTTTGTATTAAACTGTGAACTGAACAGACTGGGCATTACGAGCCATTGTTTGCAGACTTTGTGGAACTGTTACTGATAGGGTGGTGAATATTTTGTGGTGCCGCTGGTTTAAGAACATCACAGATGTGGATTATTTAACTTACCTCATTGTGTTACAATTCTTATCAGTGTTACAATAAAATATGAGTTTGTAAATTGTGGTTTGTGTTCTTATTTCAGTGTCTCTAAATGATGTATGTCTCGAGGTGTTTTGAACATCGGGTCACCTGGCTGGCCAAAATAATTTGGTGAAGCTAATATGTGTTTTTTGATTCAAGTTAGTGATGTTGTAGTTGGAGGTGTTGTTTAATTAAATACCCAGCGATACTTGCAACCGCTGTTCCTCATGCTGTCGGGTCATCACGATTTTTTAGACTTTTCCCCTTGCATACACACCTAAATTCGCCACACTTGTGATTGATGCACTGGCAATTTCTTAGCAACTAGACCAAAGTTACAGAGGCAGGGTGAGTCATATTAACTGAGTTATGTGAAGAATGAATAGAAGTTACGGAGGTGGACAGATTCCAAGCAGTCCTGATTTATTTGGTGCATACATACAACATTGGTATTCAGCACATAGACTTTCCAGTTAGTCAATGCACAGAATAACCCTAGGCTGCTGACAGTTATTTGTGACAGTAAAAGTGTTAAAAATTAATAATATTTAAAAAATCTGAAATCAGACAAGAAGTAATTGAGTAAATATCAAATCTTATGCTTTGTAAAAAAAACTCCCCATGCAGTCAGGTGCTGGTAGTGCATGTAGTATAAAATTTGAATTAACCACTGCACACTGGAATGACTTCACTGTGATTTATTTAAGAGCTTGTAAATACTTATAAATAGCAAAAGACTGCATGATGATAGACTTGTAATAAGATCACAGGCCTCAAAAGTCGCTTCCCGATGCTGCTTTAGCATTCAAAATTACACTATTTTATTTTTTGCCACTGAAAGAAAAACAACATTTTATAAGTGTGTATAAGTGACTGTACACATATTTTTTTCTGCCACCGACAACCGACAGAGATTTAGTGGAAATACTGTTGCATAATACCAATGCATATGTGGGCTTTTGTTTTCGAGACTGACACGCAACACTTGCCTAATATCCAATATGAATAAATGATTAAATCCGGACCCTTATTTAATTATAAATGTAAAGTGCTTGTTCATTCTGCCATGCGCTTCCGGTCTTGGGCACGACTCGCAAAATCTTAGTCGTCATGTTTTCACACAAAGTTTATTGCTTTCACAGAGTGGCCGATTCTTTTCCTCCATGATTTAAAACACAAGTGTAGGCTTTACGACTACACACCGGATCACAGGCGTCAACCAAAGGCTAGAAACAATTGCAACACACGGAGCAACGCCACGCTTTCTTCGTGCTGCTAGACGATCAATTCGGACTTTTATTTTGAAACGTTTCAGCTTCAGAAGCAGAAAGCGGAAGTCACTCGGGCTGCGTACAGCTAGCTTCACGCAGCGCAGAAATCATGTTTGGTAGGCAGCGAGTCGTGGACAGTGTGACACAAAGCCTGTAACCTTAGTGTTTGTTAGGGGTTGGTCAGTCATATCACCAGCGTTTCATCCGTCCTCCGCAAGAACAGACGATACTTGTTTGTTTCTGTCTTAACAGAAGCTAATTGTGTTGTCGCGTTTGGCGTCGGTAGCTTGTGTGAAGCGGTTAGCTGGACAACGTTAATGAGAGCTAACATTAACGAAAACCATCAGTGGGGGGTCTCGTTTGACGGTGGTTGTGTAATTAAAGCAGCTTCAGGCGTCCGTGTGTGCAGCCCTGCTGGGATAACAAGCGCACAGTGAGAGGGAAGTAGCAGAAGGCTAACGTTGAAGAGCTAGCAGTGTGTGTCTGTGTTTGCCCTCCTCGCTGCCACGGAGCCGTGTAGCTGTCCACGTCTAGTCTCGTCTGCTGTGTTTAACGTCGCCAGCTGAGCTAGGCCACGTCCCTGCGGGCGTATTTCACCTAACCCACTGACATTGGACGAGTGGCGGAGAAGATGCCTTGTGTGCGGAAGGAGGAAGGAGAGTGAAAAGAAGATCAGGAGAAATGTGAAAAGTCTTGCACATTCATGACTGTCTGTCTGTGTAGTGTTTGCATTTCCGAAGGGTTGCCGCATATACGCGGCATGTCACGTAGACGGATGTGTTTTACAGCGGGAGGATACTCTCACTGAGCTCTCTGTAGGTTACGATACACTTTTTGTTTTTTGAAATGGTTGGGTTTGGTGCAAACCGACGGGGAGGCCGCCTGCCGTCCTTCATCCTCATCTTCTTGATAGTGGTTATCGCCATACTGTCTTTCAACTACTGGACAGTGTCCAACAGGCACGGCCGCCTGCTGGATGAGCTGGCGGAGGTGCAGACGCAGGTGAAGCGGACGGACGCGGCGCGGAGCCGGCTGGAGAAGCGGAACTCGGAGCTGATGGTGCAGGTGGACACGCACAGGAAGCAGATCGACCAGAAGGATGGAGACTACAGCGTCCTGGAGGGCAAGCTGCAGGCCCGAGAGGCGCTCATCAAAAAGTGCAGTGATGATAAGGTAAAGTAGGAATGATCCCGTCTGTGGTCTTGGTGGAGTGAAGTTTAATTTCACTGGTGTTGACATTTTACCACGTCCAGGAACAAGTTGTGCTTCAAGCCTTCTGGTGAAATCTTTCTCAGGTGAAGCTGAAGTATAAGGTGAAGTATAATTCCAGTATCATAGTAGTTTTTCCTCTTAATTACCTGTATTCATTTTGTGTCTACACTCTGGGTGTGACTGGTAATTCTCCATGTATTATTTAATCAAGCAGATAGTAAGAGGAATATAATGACAAAGCAGCGTTGTTCATTTCACTAAACCCAGGCAAGTTTAGATAAGCATCAGTTAACTGCAATGCAACTAGGGAAAATTTTTTTTCCATCACATCACAATATTATAATCTAAATCATCTCACCATGTCTACTCTAATCACATTATGTTGCTGCGATCTCCCCATTCTGTATCAGATGGAGCATGTACGCACTAACTCGTGATGATAGCCAACTTTTATCTGATTTAAAGAGGCGAGGTGATAAAGGCATTATGAAGAGGGCAATGGTTTGTCTTGAGTTGTTAATGTAATGTTAATGGTCCTTGGTTGGGAACTCCTGCCTCAGTTCTGCTCCACCAACACAGTGTTTATCTCTAAACAACCTCGCTCCCTCAGGTGCTTTAATATCCCTTTTAGGGTCATTAAATTATGCGATGAGATAAGAATGTCCACATTCATTCGACACTGACTGACTTTTTGTCTCCTAAAAATGAGTTCCTATAATTTGCATCCCGTCCAACGCACTTATTTCACATGGACAAGCATACATTTGTTTGACTTGACATAGTCAAACCACTTGCTTGTCTGCACTGTCCCTCAGTGTCCTAACTAAATAAGGAGACATTCGACACGACGTCTCTTGAATAGACGCAGAAGATGACTTAATGCCTGTCTGCAAGATCAAAGCCAGCTTGGTCCTGTCTGTTAGCAAACATATCACTGCCAATTAATAATTAATCACTGATCACAACACATCAGACTTCCTTGTAGCTTCTTGGGTGCCAGTGCAGTTACCTTTAGTGCTGTAACGGTGCTTGTAATGGGTCACTTATTTATATAAAAGTTATCTTGGATGGATAAAGCAACAATATTCACCTGTCAGCCTAATGGAGACATTTTTCAAATGATTTCCCATTCTCCTGCTGACCATCACACCCTCGATGTTTGTGAGCCAAATCCTTTATTCTGCGGCCAAATCCAATCATAACAGAACAACAGTTAGCCTTCTGTCCGTGCCTGTTGTGCTGGCACTGTCTAATCTTCTACAAACTGACATGTTTTACTGACGTTGTTTGTTTTTATTCCATACTAAAATCCCTTTTGGCAGCTAAATTGTTTGACACTGTTAAAAAGTAGTTTTTGTGTAAGAGATTTAAAAAGCCAGGGCTCAGATTATTTTTCTTGTTGGTGAAGGGCGTATATGAAGTGTGGAGTAAAGAGGAGTCTAAGCTCCCTTGTTCCTTGGTTGTAACTTCAGTATCCGGCTCCTTGTTTCCGTAATCAAGATAAAGGCAGGTGTTGAATGGCAGTTGTTCCACTCCTCTCTTTAGTCAACAACCCAACCCTGTTTCAACAGAGAGGCTTGCTACATAAAAAGAGAGCCCTGCAATGCAGAGAAATAATACTGACAGTTCAGACTTAACGGGCTTCCATACAGTAAAGTATATTGTATCATTTAGATGCAAGAATGAATCATGCTAGCTTATACTTAATCAGGCTGTTTACAGTCTGTCCTCTGTACAACCTATTTCAGCAGAGAGTGAGGGAGAGACCAGATGAAGCCGAGGTATTGACAACAGTTGACATTTATACTGCATTTCCTCCTCCCCTTTCCTCACTGCCTTATTTCTCAGTCAATTATAACTCTTTCAAAAACTCAGTCACAACAGATTCCAAAGGGGGCAGGTTTTTGGCTAAAGGAGAAAAAAAAAGGATAATCAAAGAAATCTCTTAAACCTCTTGTGGCATAAATCACTTCCCCACTGTCCATTTATAAGCTCACCCCGGGTGAAATATGGTCAAATTCACTTTCCTTTCTGTGGTATTTCCCCCCCTCGAAGCTCCACCAATGTCTTCATCTGTAATTTGACATGAGTCATTGCAGTAATTTTTGTAACATAACGAGGCTGTGAGCTTTCGTGGGCTTCTTGGTTTTCTTTGTCTGCTTTAAAACCTGTCAGCACTGTAACAAAAAAGAATTACTCATTATTCTTGTGAACCAAAGCTTCTGTTTTTTTGCGAAGGACAAAACTATAACTTTTTGACAGCCACGTTTCAGACCTACAGGGATTGAGTGTTTGATACTCTAAAGATAGATTTTGGGTATCACTTAAGTTTCCCTCCCCTCCCACCTCTCCCCTTTACATGCTTGCTTGCTCACTCCCTCCCTTCAAGACTGTATGCATACAACTGAGAGTTTTAAAACACATATCATAACACAGCGAGCTTCAATATGGGCTGCAGGCAATTTCACATCAGTACTGTTTCTTACAGAGAAAGTAAGTAAAGTACCTAAGACTGCTTAAAAAAGATTAGAAACCAACTATATGTGAGCTTCTATGCTAGTGTTTTTTGCGTAGTACAAAGGCACTTGTTCAGTTAAGTGAGATACTTCATTTTTCAATTGTCGGATTAACGTCTATAGCCGCATACTGGTTTTGATAGGCAGGAACGTATCGCCTTGTAAGTGAATCTTGTAGTAGTAAGTAAATAAAATGTCACACTGCGTACCATCTGTTTGTGCTGTGCAGCCTCGTTACACATAAATGCAGAAATACAAACCTGTTCCCCCTGTTTCCCTGCATTAATGGAGCCAGCTAAATGAAGAACCTGTTGCACAGTTTAGCCATCCATGGCTTAGCAGGGCATGGCTTCCTGAACTGACTTCCCTTTCCTCTCTTCTCTACAGATGAAGCTGCAGAGTGATGTTACAGCCCAAATGACAGAAATCCAGAGGCTGAAAGGTAGGACTACATCCTTGTGTGGCCAGCAGAGGTCACTCTCAAGCACAATGCACAAATAGAGGATCGTTAAACCTCTCTAAATGTATACATTATATATATTGTGTGTGTGTGTGTGTTGTAAACAGAACAGCTAAAGGAGCTGAAGCAGGAGTTCATGAAACAGGAAGAGCAGCTAAGAGAAGTGAAGAAAAATAGCACTACCTTGGAAAGAAAACTGGAGTATGAGAGGTATGTTAAATCTTCTCAAATTATCCATTACTATGACAGTCTTTCAGTATACTATATATTCAGTATAATCAGGTGATATTAGGGTTAGGTTTGAGTAAAGTTATCTTAATTTCTTATTTCCTAGTTTCATTATAAGGTTGATCCAATCTCTGTGATATGTCACTTATATTGGGTATTGATTGTAAGGTTTTTAAAATAAATTAATACGTAGCTCAGGTTTGCAGTGTTTGAGAAGATAATTTTTTTCCTGTTTGTTTTATATTATGGTGAAAAAAAAATCCCAGATATGGTGAAAGTTATGAGGAATATGTGTTTATCTAGTTTACAGTGTGGACGTCAGATTGCACAATTGAAAGAAGAGTATGAAGAAACAAAAAAGACCCTGGAGGAAGAAGCATCAAAACTAAGACAGGTTGGTATTGATGAAATCCCGACAAACAAGATGTTCATCATTCTTTAGTATCAATAAAGGCTGCTACTCATGGCCCCATACCCTCTGGCACTCATTGCATTTATTCAGCACTGTGATTTTAACCACAGATGTACTGATATTAGCAGCCAAACTTGATTCACCTTTGTTCATTCTTAATTCTATTCACCACTTCAGAGTGTAATTGATGGCCAAAAGGGCGTAGTGGCAGGTCGACACGTCGAGGGAGCACCCGGTGTGGATATGATTGGAGAGCGCCATACAGTGGCCACTCGCCGGCATGACAGTCAAGATTTAAAAGGTACAGTGGATGTGATGGTCTCAACAAAATTAGACCATCAGACTGTTGCTTATATTTATATTGTTGTTAACTTACTTGACTGCTGTAACCAAATACTCTACTACTATAAATTTAATATGTTTAGTGTCCTGTGTGTGTTGTTCCTGTTTCTGTAACTGTACCAGTGAACTTGTCAAACTACTTTAATGTTAACCTATCCACTACAAGTCACATTTCCTTCTGCTCTGTTGCAGAAGAGATGGGTAAGCCTGGCAGTGACGCTGGCATGCCTGGCATTGAAGACAGCGAGGTGGGAAAAATCGATGATGTGCAATTTGGTAAGCAATGGACCTACATTTTTGTAGTTTTTAAGTTTGCAAACCCAGTGAAGTAATGAGTGGGCAAAATTATGTAGAAGGTGTATAAATTTAGTTACACTTGGACTAATTTTCAAGGCAGAATGGGCAGAGAAAAGTAAAGTAAAACAATAATAAAGATGATCCCAATGCCAGTGTATAGACTGTTTAGGTCCATAAATATGGACAAATACACATTGTTAATTTTGAAGTTGCGACTTGAGCGGAGGGTGACAACAAACTGCCAAGATGAGAGTTAAACTCGGCCTGTACAAACACGTCGGCCTATCAGTTTATCAGTGAAATTTAAAGCCAAAGCCAACGGACTACAGAATTCACAATCACGTACTGCTATGCATAGCGCTGTGGCAGGAAATGCCACTCCTCTAAAGGTCATATAAAACAAGTAAGCTTTTCTGGGGTCGTAGCTCCAAATTCTTTCTGTATTTCTGTCCTTGTTGCAAGTGAAACACAAAAAAAATCACAGAAGTTGTCTCACTTTGCCACTTCATTCATCTACAGCCTTGAAGAAACCAGCCATCACTCAGAAACATGACGAGTCCCCTGATGTGGTTGTGGGAGCTGGTGCTGGACCTGGACCTGGAGTTGGGGCAGCTGATGGCCCTGGGGGGCAGGGCCTGTCTCTGGACCAGCCCAGGCTCCAGCAGGACAGAGTGGATGGGCGAGCAGCTGTGGTTGCACCTCTGGCCATCGTCAAACAGGCAGACAAACCGATAGTGTTTGAAGAAGACAACAAAGCAGGTATCAAGGCAGACGAGCTGGGAGAACAACAAAGACAACTTCGAGGTACAGAATGCACCATGTCCATATAATTAGTGTTAATTATAATGGTCCTGTCTTTTGAGGCATGTAATGATGTGTTATGATGCTTCATTGAAATGTAGTTTTACTAATTTAATGCTTTTGGTTATGTTTCTTTCACTGGATCTTTAGTTCAGTGAAGGCAGGAGCTGAGAACTGTTATCTTGGTAGAGGAGTTGATAGCAGTTTCTACATTTTAATGAGTTTTCCCAGTCTTGTGTAACATCTTTCAAAACTTCAGGGGCTCCCTTAAAGAATACACAAGTAGGTTTACCACACTGTGCTTTATAAAAAAAGAGGGCATTCATTTGCCCTTGATTGAAGTAGTAATGTTGTAGCAGTTAAGGAGATGCGTTGCATATTTTTGCCCCGTTCCTGAGGTATAATAAAGAACATTTTGGCCATACATACAACTGAACCTTATGTATCTTTCTTACTGACAGCACCTGATAATGTCAAGGTTGAAGGCGAACACTTGAAGGGGATTCCTCTGCCCCCCAACCCTGCCCAGGTGCCCAACCCTATTCAGCCTCACCGCGCCAAAGACCAAGTTCCAGCAGAGGCAGTACACCACCGCCAAAGTGAGTTCCTCCACGACAACTTAAAAAAGGCAATACTGTAATTTGCGAGGGAGGTTGTGGTTGGAGGCCTTTTTAAAAATTAAATTGGTAATAGATTTTGAGGGGTGGGGAAAAATAACATTAGACATGAAATAATAAGTATTAGTCACAGCTATTCTTGTTAGCGCTGCCTTTGCGCTTAGCTTCTGCCTCCCAGCTCTCTGTGATGTTTGTCAACTCAGAGAGTAAAATAAAATTTGGTGCGATGCCATTGGTGTGAATTTTTCCCATTGCTAACTGGTTACACTCCTACTTTTATATAACACCTTTTCATCTGTTTGAATGTAAGTCATGTCTGAATATGGGTAGGAGCACTGTCAGGGAGTAGGGAGAGGGCTCAGTTGCAGAGGAGAGGAGACAAATGACACACACCTGGCTCCCAGATGATCCTTTCCTGCTGCCTGGCTTCTGCTCTGCTCTGCTGCCTTTTCTCCCTCCTTCTCCTCTGTTTTCATTTGTTCTGTTTTCATCCTCATACATCCACCTCACCCTCAGCAGCTCTGCTGCTTAAAACACAGACTGTATTCAGTTCACGTCTTCATTTTGTTTTTCCTTCTAATCTTCTGTCTCTGATCTCTTTATACTTGCATCCTATTATGGCAAATTAACACCCGACACCCACCAGATGTCTCCTTTTTGGCAGTGTCTGGTGCTCACTAGACACTAGCAGCTCAAAGACACTGCCTGGCTCAGTGCATCTTGAGTCCCCACCCAATCCTGTCGTGATCAACAGAAATCTCAGATCTGTAGGACGTGAGATAGGAACATAAACTGCCACAGATGCTTGTGTGATAGAGGTTGGAAAGGCATTATAGATCAGAGTAAAAACACAATTTGAGTTGAAGTTTATTTTTTACATTTTACATATTTTATGGTCCGTTTTTTCTAAAATCATCCCTAGTTTATGTATTTGGCTCATCTCTATTGTGGCCACCTGTAACAATGAAAAGGCCCACTTTCTGTTCAATATTAAAACAGGTACAACACTGGTAAATATTGTACATTGATTGGAAAATGTCACTTTTCCACAATGACTTGTCCATATCTACAATATTCAGTAAAAAGACCTCAACCTCTTGCTTTTGTACTATTTATATTCGAACACATCAAATATAGCTTCATAGCATAAAGAACAATTGTTATCCTCTCCCAACATTAAAAGTTAAATGACCTATCCACACAGGCCTCTGCATCTGAAGCTGCACTGAATTGAGGTGTTTGTGTTTTTCATATTTTAATGAGGGTGGACGACATGTTTAAAACATTTCTGTATACAACACAGTTCAACGAGTCACACACTTACTGTATGCGTTGCTTTCAAAATGACCCTGAAGTTGAATCAACACTTCTCACAAAAACTAAACATAAGATAGGATTTACAGCAGGGCTATTGTATTTGATTGATTGGATTGCATAGATGATTAAACACGTAACTCAATTAGTGCTCAGTGCTCTCCAGACTTTAAACAGTCTCTCATTACAAGCGAACCCCATTTGTTTCCACTCGACACTGTGCTTTCAAGTCCATGATTGGCTTCCCTTTACTCTTAAGAAACACTTCTCTCCTAATTAACATCTGCCACCATGTATCCATTCCCCTCATCTTCATCATCTTTTATTATCCTCTTCATGCAATCACTTATTCCTTCATGCATTCATTATGCAGTATTTCACCCATTCCTCCCTGTCTCCCTACAACTGCCTTCGCTTCCCTCCCTTCCTGATGAGGCCCTTCTCTGCCTCCTGCAGGCCGGTTCTTTGATGAGAACGAGTCCCCAGTAGATCCGCAACACGGCTCTAAGCTAGCGGACTACAATGGGGATGATGGGAACGTGGGTGAGTATGAGGCCGACAAGCAGGCCGAGCTGGCCTACAATGAGGAAGAGGATGGTGATGGTGGGGAGGAAGACGTTCAAGGTGAGCCAGGTTGGGGGACTGGATTGCCTGTCCAGATGTGTATCCACCATTCCTCCCTTGCTACCTCCCTCCACCCCTGTCCTGCTGCCGCCCCCCTCTGCATTTGTCCCGACAGTTAGAGTAGCTCACAGTACCCTGAGTTTGGTCCTTGAATCCACCATAAACTACATGTTTAAGAATTATGACAAAAAGGCTTCAGGGTCAAAGCAGGACTGCTATGCATGCAGTTCAGGATGAGTAACTGAATGGTGTCATTCATTTTTTACTGTATAGACACAGTAACAGCAAAATGACCCAGGAACTTACGGTTCTGTGAGATTAATTCAGTTGCCATCTAGTATTTTCTCTCCTGCCTGTGCTTCATTTTAGCTATACCACCTGTCTGTGCCCACCACACATCTGACCCACATCTAGACCAGTAGATAAATATAGCTCACTGTGTTTGTGAATGTGTCTGTGTTATCCTTGAAATATTGAAATGCATGCCTGTGTTGTTGTTTTTTCTTTGTTGTTAGTTTCCTGCCATGAATTTGATTGTCTAACAAAAACTATTTAATTCATGTTCGACTGTAATTTGTCATTTTTATCTGTTTTCTTTATGATAGCTGTTCAGTTTGTATACTGTCTCTAAATTCAATAAAAATGTTGTTGTTGCTATAATGACCGATAAGGAATAAGGAAGCTGATAATACGCTAGCTAGATGTAGCATATTATTTCCTCCCCAAATTAAATGTGTCCTCTCAATAAACGTCTTCTAGATTAAGACATTGTTGCTAAATCAAGAGAACTATGTAGAAAAAAAACACAATACAAGTCCTACACTTTTCACACAAGACGGATGTGAACACCTAAAAGTCAGCATTGTTTCATTTCACATCCAGTGTGCTGAAGTGTATCCGAAACAACAATGAAAAACATAAATCCTGATACCTGACTGCACTGTAGGTGACCATATCTTTTATGGATGTACCCTGTAACAGATTGGCATTAACCTATTGATGTGATTGGACAAGGGAAGGAAATAGTTTAGATAAATGATATCAAAAAAGATCATTTCCTTATGTAATAATGGAGTGTGGTTACAGCTCTTCACTGCGTGTATTGTCTATTATTTGATCTCTAATGTCTGTGTTGATTTCTTTTTTTTCTAGACGATGAAGATCGAGACATGCAGGGAGACCGCGCTGTGGATTATGGGAAAAGACATCAAGCCATTGACATTCTTTGAATGGGAACTCGTACAGCCGTTACTCATTAAAAATATTCAGACCTTCCTCTACAACCAAGGTCTTTCTTGACAAAATAGTTTGAACATCAATATGTTTAAGAATTTATAGGGTGCATACTCAATGTCATGGACTATTTTGAAGAACAGACATTGCAACTAATGAATTAATTATGAATAACATAACATAATACAAAGGAGAAAAAAAATCATGGCATTGTCCTGAGCTGCTGTTGATTAGCTAATGGTTCTAAGTTATGACAGTAGAGATGATATCCTGTACACTGACTGTTTTGTTATTTGATAACTGCCTCAGTTCATACTGGAGTGGGGGGCTCTTCCCTGTTGACTCACACCTGAACTACAAGGTCAAACTGTGTTTTTGTTTTTGCTACTTTTTCCTTTTCAGGTTGCTGTTGCTTGATACAAACTCTTCACCTGAGATGTTTATCAAAGAGACTAATTCGGCAGTTCTGCCTTTCTAACATAATTTTGGGACTTGTACATGGAAGAACATTTTTTTCGTTTACAGGATTGGGAATGCATTACAAATGCCAAGGACTTTGCTTATGGCCTATTAAATCGATCTTCTTTTTTTGTGACAGACACTCAAAAGTGCTCCTCATTCT